AAGTCCTGTGTGGTGGAAGGGGAGGGGGGAGGGAAAGGGTGTGGAAATGCAAGAGTGGTGGTGTGTACTTCTGTGAAGGTTGCCGAATGTCTTGATGAAAATATTCCTATTAGGCAATACAATTTTCTAGGGTGTGTATTTAAGAAAGAGCATACTAGAGCTGTCTTGTAAAATTTGTGTAGGATTCAGCATCTGTGAAATTGCTTACCATAAAGAGTGACATTCTTTAAGTTATGGGTTTATTTTATTTAAAAGGCACAAACAATGCAAGACTCTTTAAAAGTCACGATATATAACAATTTTACATTTAAAACTGGACAGAATGTTATAGACACTTTGGAGGACAGGAACAAGATTCAGAAGGACCTCAAACTGGAAAAGAGGTCTGAAATTAATTGAATGAAATCCAGTAAGGGTAAGCACAAAGTGCTGCATATGGGATAGACCAATCAAATGCATAAAACAGACCAGGGAACAGATAGCTTCCTGCGGGACCTAAACCTGTTCAGCCTTCACAAGAGAAGGCTGAGGGGGGACCTGGTGACTGTCCATAAACTCACTGGGGGGGGACCAGAAGGGTTTGGGGGAGACACTGTTTCCCTTAGCGCCCCCTGGCATGACAAGAAATAATGGACACAAATTATTGGAGAGTAGGTTTAGATTAGACATCCGCAAGAACTACTTCACAGTTAGGGTGGCTGGGAGCTGGAACCAACTTCCAAGGGTAGTGGTGCTGGCTCCTACCCTGGGGATCTTTAAGAAGAGGCTTGATGCCTACCTGGCTGGACTCATTTGAGTCCAGTTTTTCTCCCGCCCAGGCTGGGGGTCGGACTTGAAGATCTACAAGGTCCCTTCCGACCCTACTTCTATGATTATGATAGCTGCAGTACCACAGAAAAGGAACTGCGGGGTTGTACTTGGGCAGGCCAAGAGTAAACTTGGTGGTATCAATAGAAGTCCTGCCTACAAGTCAAACTACTAATTCTTCTGGTCTATTCAGCAATGGTGAGGCCTCACCCTGAGTACTGTGTCCAATTTTGAACTTGGATGATTTAGTTTGGAGAATAACAGTCTTCAAATACCTGAGGGTTATAAAGAGGATGGCAAAAGACCATTAGGGGACAAAACAAGTAGCGGTCTTAAATAGCAGGAAGGGAAATCTATTAGGAAGACCTTTTTAATTATGAGGGTGGTTTAGCACTGGAACAGATTTAGATGGGTCATGGAATCTTTTAATTTCTTATTTTTAAGAGCAGATTAGACAAACACTTGTGCAGCCTGGTTTAGACAGGGATGATCCTGCTTTGAGCAGGGAGTTCATGATCTCCTGAAGGCCCTTCCAGCCCTATTTTTCTATGATGAGATTACAGAAAGGCCTCAAAAAGCTTAAGTTATTTGCTGCTAAGCTGCAGTACAAGCATTTTATTTATATTTTAGGTAATTACACATAGGTAGAGTAAAAGTGTCACAAAGAATTACCCCATATGGGAGAAAAAAATTGCACATAGCATTTTATTTCTGCTTTACAAAAAAAGGCAAAAGATACAACAAGAAAACTTCTCTTCTACTAGGTTTTATAAATAAATATGCTTCAAAAATTAAATGAAATATACTCACCACTGTGCTATTTGCTTCAACATAGCTAAGTTCAGGAACTGAATTTTTAGCATATATTGAAATGGTCACTTCGCCTCCAGTCTGATGCCAGTCATGCCTACAAGGAACTATTTTTTTCCCCTAAAAACAGATATTTTGAAAAAATATCCATTATATATTTTTTTAAAGAATACAGTTCCAAAAACTACTACAAAATACTATAACCAGTACACGGCTCAATTCTGCTTGAAAATGCACAATGAAGACATCTTACTGATGTTGAGAAGCAGACCAAAGTTTTATTCAGGTTCTTATCTTCTTTCATGGTTACTGAAAATAATCTAGAATGGAGAACAGCCGTGTTTATGAACTAGACCAAGCTGAAAATGGGGCATTGTAGTGCTACTTTCACAAGAGAAAGTCCAAACATAAATGGGTAGAGGAACTATAACAGTTAGCAGTGGTAAAAGGGCACCTGAAACAGGCCAATGGTACCTCAGGAAGTCTTCATAATAATATGAAAGAGAGGTCAGACACTGCACTACAAGTGCCCTCTTGTAGGAAAAGTACAGAGAACACAGAAGGAAAAGCAGATGTTAAAAAACAGGAGTGCCCAGGATGGAAGGGAAAGATTAAATCAACCCACTGGTCTGAGATGAAAAGCAGCAGAAGCTGCTACTGAACAGAGAATGGCTCCCTGAACCTGGCACTTCATTAACTTGTTTGGAGGAGTAACTGAAAATAGACTCTCAAAAAAAGTTACCAAGGCATAACTGAATGTAAAAAAAGACAGCAGTATGGAAAGTGAACCTGGTTTGCATCTGGGCCCTAACATTTTGAATAGAGCAGTGGCGCTCAACCCCTGTGGTCCAGATTTGACCTGTGGAGCTCCACAACAGTCCAGAAGTTTGGCAGCAGGGGAGCAGTGACAGCGTTAATTGCCACTCCTGTGCTGCCAGACCTGTGGGGAGCCCCATGGGTCACATAATGTAGCCCTGCATGAAGACGTAGAGTAGTGCATGGCTAGATCGGGCCAGACTGACTAACCCCAAGCACCTACCCTACACAGACGAACCCCACGCCACTCACCTGGCCCATAGGGCCAGAAGGATGGGCTCCACTGGAACAGAGAAAGCCTGCCACACACACCCACTGGCTAAAAGTATGCATTTAGTTGCTGAAATGGCAGAGATTTATTTTTTGATAATATCATTTCTTTTCAAGAATGATTTAGCTCTCTTTATTCTTTCTGCTAAGGAGAAAACCTGAGAAATGGAGTTACAAACAAGCTGAAGAACTAGCACCGGTTCCTTGTTTTAGGGGAGTAGGAGATTTGGTGGGAAGGGGGGACAGTGAGAAGAAGTGACCTCAACTACAATTTCTGTCTGGTAATCTTTTTCTTTAAATGTTTTTACTACAATGTTTACTGGCTGGAATTTATTAGGCAAATCAGGAACTGATATGTCAACAATGGAAATGAGACACGTCTGAAGACAGGATGTGATCAGCTAAAATTTTTAAACTGGAAGTGCTTGTTTTCTTGCTCTGCATCAGTAAAACACTCACCTTTAGGTTAACTCTTTAGAAAGCCTCTAAATAGGAACTGAATGAAAATACAAGCACCTATTAGCTTTTTTAAATTTTGCTCCCTGCTCTGCTATAGAACAGACCTATAAGTGAATCAATAATCCATCCAAATAATCCACTAAATTTCAGTGCAAGAAAGTGGATATACTTGAATGGAAACTGGACTGGATAAGAAAATTATCTGCCAGCCCAACACCTAGAACTCTTACTCTTTCATACAACTCACCAACTAAGAAAGAGACTTGGAAGTAAGAGCATTTAGTTTTATGCACTTAGATGCATTACATTCCTAATTTCAAAATTCCACAGACCTCATCTAATGAAAAGGATTACAAAACCTGCTTTTCAAGATTGTCTCTTTTTTTGAAGCACATTTATATAAACACTTATGCCTCAAACTTTTCATTCTATCATCTAAAAACATATACTGTATTTACTAATACAATTCCACCCCCCAGTCAGCTGGTAGGGAAGGGGGGAAGCCCCTAATTTTATATTTGCATATGAAGAAACCTCATTAAATACACTGTCTATCTTTAAACTGCTGCCAAAACCAGCATGTGCTCAGTCATGGTGAACAACTATGAGGTTGATTTAAATGCAGCCAACACTGAGCACTACTATAAAACATGGCCCATATTGGGCAGACATGCCAAAGGGAATAAATTAGTGCAGTTCATCTGAATAAAATACATAGTGCCAACTGCAGTCATGGTGAGCCACTACACTTAATACATTTCAACTTCCTGTTCACTCCCACAGCTGAGCTGCACCCTTTCCCCATTTCCAGTTACTCCTGTTTCTTCACCAGTCTTTAATTTCTGGGAAACATCAAATGGGGCCCCAAGTATTTCACCCAAAATTCCTCGTGCCCTCTCTCGGCACATGATTAGTGTGGCCTTGCCCTCCATGAGGTGGAGCTGGACCAGGTTGCTCTGCACTTCACTTGCACATACATTTTTGGAGGATCCCAGGACTCATGACAAGCAAGTCTGGTTTCAGTCATGAGTCAGGGGGCTAATAAGCACATGGAGTGAGTGAGAGAGTCAGAGAGCAGCAGCAAAACAGGAGTATACACACACTGAGCAGTGTTGAGCTGTGGAGTCACCATGACTTGAAACACTGTTGACTCTACTGGGGCCCAGTTCAGTGAGGTATATGGTAAATCATGAGCTTTTTGGTTTTAGACCAATATCATTCCTAGTTAGTGCTATATAGAAGTAGCTACAAAAGTTCTGCTTAGGAGCGTGTTTATGGAGTACCTGTGCTAAAACTTGCAGCAATTTCAAAATCAGCTCATCCAGAAGTGATGATGCCTTTTGATAAGTCTATGGGTACCTGTAGTAAATTGCCTATATGTGAATTATTACAGGTATGTTTATTTCAAGGTCAGATTTGCCCCTTACTTCCATGTGGGCAGGGTGAGTAGGGTCTGACAGTAAAGAGGGGAAGAAGGGGCTGTTGGGGGAAGAAGCTGGGGAGGACAGAGTGTAAGAGGGCTACTTGACCCTCAGATTTATTTTCCCTGCTGTAGCAGTGGGAGGGGGACAAATTAAGACAAAGCTCCAATAATTAGATTCTATACCTGGAAAATTATAACAAATTTATAAATCTTCCAGATATAGAATCTAATTACTGGGGGAACATCATATATTCACAAATCAACTTACTTTAAAGTAAATATGGCCATCCCCACCCTCCATTTGCAAGGGCCTTTTTTGTGCGTGTATGCAAGGAAAAAAAAGTGCACCAGTTTATTCAAAGATTACTTCAGGCTCCATTTTGGTATTAACAGAGTGCTCATAAAACTCCTAAAAGCATCAATTGAGATTCCATTATTTTGTAAGTATGGAAATGTGTTTTTGCTCAGCTAAAAGTCTCAAATTTAGTCAAAACAGAAGTTTTTTTTTTTAAATACCCAGATAGTTCAAGACAGACAACTTCCTGGGGCAAAGCTAGTGCTACTTACAGTATCTTTTTTAGTCCATACATGTGTTCCTGTTGTGCATCCTTCTTGAGCCAAAAATGTATTAAAATCAGAAGTTTTTCGCTTACAGCAGCTCCAGTACTTCATCCTGTAAGTTTAAAGAGGAAAAAAACAAACAAACCAAGTATTTATAATCTTACTACTATGAACAATTTTTAAAACAAAGTGTTTCTTTTGGATACCTCATTAAATTTGAAAAGCTAATTTAGTACCTGCTACAGAATTAAAATTGGAAAGAGCAGCTGCCTATGATTAAGGAAACACTTTATTAATCACATAATACTTACCCTTCATGAAATATAGGTACACCAGAATGGTATATACATAGTTCTTCTGTGCTCTGTGGTCCTTCAAATCTCTGATGAAATATAATATTTAAAAAAAAAGATTACCCTTTCAAATAGTAAGCTTTAACAAGCATTTAATTAGCAAAGCAGACAAAGTTCATTTAATATACTTGGTATACTGGCTATGTAATCAACTATTTCTGAAGTAAACCAAGAATTGTCATTTTATAAGAGGCAGAAGAAGCTCAACTAAAGATTTTCATACAAAGTTCACCTGAAATTCACTGCTTAAAAGCCATTCTTCAAATAGTCTACCAAAATGATCTGGAGGCCATCAATATTACTGCACATAATGGTTGATTTGGGCCCTCTAACAAAGCAATCTAGAGTTCTTGAAATTTGTATTTAAATAACTACAGGTGAATGAATAACTACAAACAATTTGAAAGCTGCAAGTTTTAAATGGTCACACATACATAGATCAATGCCTCAGATGCATGATAGCAAAAAATCTACTGGTAATTTTGGGGGTTCTTAACTCACCTAACGGCTACAATAATCTAGTGAAATGTGCTGCTACCTTTGCTTTCACCAGAGCATCAGAAGCAAAGAACAAAAGCTGTTGACACTCAAGTGTACTATTTATTTCTATTCAACCATTCCCCTTTGTTCAATACAAGGCTATTAGAGAAAGAGCAAGCCAGTTTGGTTGATAATCAATGAAGAAAAAAGTTTTGCAATTACAATCCTAACATGTATTTGATTACTTGCTTAGTGGCTCTTTCAGTAAGAAAGACTGGTGCATGTTTCATAGATTCAACAGATCTTCATTAGTGGCCAAAAGTAATGCAAAGGGCTTATAAATAGTCTGAGAAATAGTTGGAGGCCCTCCCATTCTTCATACTTTAGACCAACAGTTGAAATTATTAAAGCTGTTCAAACCATGAGTCCCAAAATGTATTTATGAACAGCTTCTATGGTGCTCCTGATCACATTAAGAAGCACATCCTGCCCACCTGTTCCTGCTGTGCAGGTCGCAAACCTGGAAATGAGATGGCAAAGCCATGCTGAAGTCACCTGCTGCTGCTGCTATTGAGATCTGTTTCTGGTGTGCTTGAGAGTAGCAGGGTGGTTTCACTCCTTATTCCAGGTTGGGACATAAGTGGGAGCAGGGCATGCTTCTTAATGGCACTCTCAGGAACCCTGCATAAACAGTAGAGACATGCCCTAAAATTGTTAATTTTGGACCCAGCAGTGGCCCTTGATTTTGAGTTTACTGTACTGACAAAGCAGAGCATCTTACATTTTCTAGCCTTAAAACCATGTTGCAAGGTGCCTATTTATTTATGAACTTTGTGCCATCTTGGAATTACTTGGGAGGTTTTTTTTTAAAACGAACTTCAAAATCCTGAACAGTTCATTTATTCAGAATTCAGTTCATGTACTTAGAATAAAAAAACTAACCTTTGAGCAGCCTCCGTTTTTACACGCAGTCCCAATCTTGATTTCATCACTGTCCTCTTCTGTGAAAATGTGATATAAATAAAAACAGAGTTATTGTAAATATCTCAGGTGCTGAGTTCTCTTGAATTCACGTAAAAATAAAGGCTAGTATCTGACAGACCCTTCAGGGAACCAGGAAGTGAAAAAAACAGCTCCTATTTTTGGTGTGCTACACAGAAATCCATAAAAATGCATACAAAACTGCTTTCTCCATGTGCTGTAAACAGGAGAGAAGATCAGGAAGTGACTTTCAGTAAAAGGACAGTGTGTGCTAGGAGGTGGTGTCAGAACCTCAAACCAATCTGAAACACATCTCTTTCTTGGTATCAGTTTTAAGTTTTAAAAAAAAAGAAAAAAAAAGAACCCCCCCCCAAGTCACACCATCTGTTTGCAGAGACATACTGGCACAAAATGTGTCATTTTACGGCATCATATATGGTGTGTGAGTTAGAAGTTGAAGTTGACCTGTGGAGGTAGTGTAAATGTTCTTTTATTATTTATGACATGACATGGTCTTCCAAGAAAAACCTTTTTAATATATTGGCTCAAAGGTAACCTTGCAGGAATCTTTTATTGCTTGCACCTCAAAACACAAAAATAAACACTACTCCCAAAGTCTATCTGGCTACCTGGGACAGCACAACAGACTCTTACCTATACTGGCTGGGAAGACTCAAAAGCGGGAAGAGGGTGGCATGCAGATTTGTAGCAGGCCTTCCTGAATTTGCCAAATTCTCCAAATTTCCCTCCACCCAATATCCTATATTTATAGGTGGCTGGTTCTAACAATCTAATAAACCATCTCTGATTGGTTTCATTTAAATTTGTTTCACCAAACTTTTGGAACTGGACTGTTTCTTGTGGATGCACAAGGTATCAATTAGTTGGGATTTATGTTACTGTGAAAAATATACTTCTGGAGAAGTGATTTCTTATGTTTTTCCTTTACCATTATGGAATATTGCTTGTTACCATCCTGCTTTTCTCCTCTCCATAACCAAAGATTGCTAGTTTATTTATGTTTACAACTTATCTAGAAACTTAACACAAATAACTATTACAACAAAACAGTATCTAGCACATCTAGGTACATCCATTACTAACATTTTGAGGTAAAGCTATGATATAGTATGTTTTGATTATTTAATATACTCTTCCCTTTTTAATGTCTTCTTTCATATCTTGCACTCACTTTAACTGAATTTCATTACTGGTTTAACTGGACATACTGATTACAGACTGACTGCTTACCAAGCTGGCTGTCACATGGGTAAAAGTTATTCCTGTGGTCACTCAGAAACAGGCTTTGGGGTCCTCTGCTTTGCCACACTTCTTGCAGGCTGGTCTAGGCCCCTTGAAATTAGCCAAAACTTACAATACATTCATGTTTCATGTTTAAGTTCAGAATCTGGAGTATGGGATTCCGCATTTAGTTTTGTAACCTTTGAGCTAGAGACAATCCATCACTTAAGTAAACGTATTCAGGCATACCACTGAGCTTTGTTAGGGTGTTTTACCTTTTTTTTCTTCGTCATTCTCTGATGACAGTTTCAGTTTATCTAGCGCCTGTTTCAGGGAAGCTGATACTTTCAGCTGCAAGTTTGTCATTGGTTCATCTGGGCTGGAAAAAAAATTAAATGCATTCATAATGTCTTGGTTAAAAATAAATGATGGAAGATCGATAAAATTACATTAAGCCTTGAACAGTGTAGAAGAGTATTCTTCTCAGATTTCAGTTTACAACATATCAGTTTAAATATGAGAATTTAATACAGGCATACCTCGGAGATATTGCGGGTTCAGTTCCAGACCACCGCAATAAAGCGAATATCGCAATAAAGCGAGTCATACGAATTTTTTGGTTTCCCAGTGCGTATAAAAGTTATGTTTACACTATACTGTAGTCTATTAAGTGTGCAATAGCATTATGTCTAAAAAACAATGTGCATACCTTAATTAAAAAATACTTTATTGCTAAAAAATGCTAACCATCATCTGAGCCTTCAGCAAGTCATAATCTTTTTGCTGGTGGAGGGTCTTACCTCGATGTTGATGGCTGCTGACTGATCAGGGTGGTGGTTGCTGAAGGTTGGGGTGGCTGTGGCAATTTCTTAAAATAAGACAACAATGAAGTTTGCCGTATCGATTGACTCTTCCTTTCACGAAAGATTTCTCTGTAGCATGCGATGCTGTTTGATAGCATTTTACTGACAGTAGAACTTCTTTCAAAATTGGAGTCAATCCTCTCAAACCCTGCCGCTGCTTCATCAACTAAGTTTATGTAATATTCTAAATCCTTGCTCGACGCAGGGTTGCCACAAACCTTCAATTTGTAAAAAACGCAGTATCTGCGAAGCGCAATAAAGTGAAGCGCAATAAAACGAGGTATGCCTGTATAGGGATTCTCAACTGGGATGTCAGAACACAGGTGTCACCGTGGCAATAGCCAGGTACAACTGCCCTATGGGCAGAGTTGCAGCATGTGCATATTCCTTCTGCATTAGGGTTCACCAATTAGCCTAAAATAAGCAGGAAAGCTGGTTTGGGCTGCAACTTTCCCTGGCCCAGCATCCCCACTCCTCATTTTCAGAAACAAAAGTGCATGGGACAGTTCCACCTGTGCAGGGTGCTAGGGGCTGCAGCATGAACAACCTCTCCTGCCCACTTTATGCCAGTCAGAGAATGGTAATGCAGGAAAACCAAATGTGCTACATACAGCCCTCTCCCTGGTTTGACTGTGTAGCATCTCGCAGAGAAACACTGACGTAGGGATGCGAAAGTTTAAAAATTTAAATGACAAGTATATCTATACTGGTAATACATTACCAGTTAACATTTAGTGCAGGGTGCGGTCCGGAGGGGAAGGGAAGTGGTTTTGCCTCAGGAACAAGAAGGCAGCAGGACAGGCAGCAGACAGTAAGGGAGGCAAGGAGGTAGGAGAGAGGAGGACAGGAGAGGTAGGGATGTGGGGGCACGGGACTAGAACCATGGCCTATAAGTTAAAGAGGAAAACAGAGGAAGGCCTAATGACTCTGCTTGAAGTAATTAATTAATATTTTAATCAATTAATGCTCTAACCAAGTAATGTTTAGGTAATTAATTGCTGATGCTGTATCATTTAATTAATACTGACTTAATTGATGTTTTAATTAATCAACTCTGTTAAGCAATTAGCTGCTTATTCACAGGTGCCCCCTCCCTCCCAGAGAGGGGGCTGGGAACACCTCTGCACACCTCCACTTTATGTGGGCTGTGTTGTCATGCAGGGCTTGCCAGGGCCTCCTCCCCACCCTGTCAAAGGCCCCAGGGAGTGGCTCCCAGCAGCAGCAGCAGCAATATCTACACTGCTTGGCTATCAGTTGAATGGATAATTTTTTTAAACAATATTTTTAAACAATATTTACATCCTTACGCCGAGGTAAGTTGAACACTACAGTGGTTCTCAATCAGGGATGCTGCCACATTCAAAACAAGTTTCAGAGTCGGGGCACCCCTCCACAGAAGTGGAGAACAACTGATATAATGGGACCACAAGCAATTGCACAATCATATATAATCCACATGTATGGTAGATAAAAACCAACCCACAGGTATATTAGATAAAAAGTAGGGATGAAATTGCTTTGAGGAATACTAGGCTTTCAAACCTGGGTATCAATGGGAAAGCCATGTGAAGTCCATTATGAGTTATGCAGTTCATGTCTTCCATTTATGCTATATGCCAACCATCATCTCATTAGAAATCAAAAGAAACACCACCTACAGGCAGGTTATTGCTTAAGTGATTACAATGCTGGTTTTTCCTTTAAAAGACAGTGCAGCCACCCCTGTCAGTCATGGCAATGGATCGTCTGATGTGACATGCAGTTCCTCTAGAAAAGTATAACTTCCTAATGCAGACCTTAACATTGCTGTGGGTTGTGTCAGGGGCCACTGAAGAACCCAAGAGTACAGTAGTTAACTACATTCCTGTTGAGGGTACATTGAATGGGAAAGGTAACAGCAGTACTCAGAGCTACGGGGGCTCAAGGGTTTGCCAGGCTGAATTTTATAAACGGGACAAAACCCATACAACCCTAAATGATAAAGGGACCTCTCCTCGTACCATTTATCATTGCAGCAATTATCTCATATAATATAAATCAGCACTTCATCCTCATCATTCATGATGCCTTCAACCCAGAGGTGCACAATCTCCTTGAAAGCGTCTTCTCTTGCCTAACATGAACTGAGAAATAGGAGGAAGTCCAGGAGACAACAATCACTTTCAAAAGTCTCCTCATCCCTCTTCCTGCAATTTTCCCTCTTCTCTTCTCCCCCTACATCAGGGGTCAGCAACATTTTTGGGCAGAGTGCCAAAAGCACCTGTAACCTTGACTTATAAGATGCTAGTGTGCCAGGGGTGGATGGTAAGGGAGTTGTGAGGGGCCCAATCCTTGCTGTGGCAGTACAACTTCAGCCCCTTCCCAGCTTTCTCCCCCAAGATGCACGCGCCAAACAAAATTCCTTTGCGTGTCATGCTCTGGCACCTGTGCCAGGGCTTGCCTACTGCTGCTCTACATCTCATCTCTGGGTAAAATTAGCATCTGCAAATACAAATTAAATTACCACCTCTGTGTAACCACTCACAGACCTAACTCTAGTTCAATGGTCTGCAGTATAAGGCCTGCAGGCTGGATCTGGCCCATACAGCCACTGGATCCAGCCTGTGGAATGGGGGTTTCAGTGTCAGGGGGCTTCGCCTGCAGCACTCCAGCTGTGCAAGAGAAGAGGCAGCAACAACAGCTGGGCTCCAGCACGAGCCCGGGGCCACGCTGTTCGGGGAGGAATTCTGCAGCGGAAGGGTTGTGGCACCGGTGACGAGCGATGGGGTATGATGTTACGCACTTCCAGCAGGAAGTTGATGAAAGAAGAAGAAAAAAAAAAAATCTATGCAGCATTGCTCAGGCTGCAGCTGGAGTACTGAGTCCAGTTTTGAGCACCGCACTTAAGGAGGGATGTTGATGGCCTGGAGAGGGTTCAGGGGAGGGCTACTCGTATTGTTACAGGCATACACAAAAAACTCTATGTGGACTGACTGGGAGACCTGAACCTCTTCAGCATCCGCAAGAGGAGGCTGAGAGGTGATCTCATGGAGAGGGTCAGCAAGAAATAGGGGATACGATGTTTACCAGGGCACCCGTCGGGGTAACTAGAAATAATGGCCACAAACTGAGAGAGCATATTCAGACTAGACATCAGGAAAAAATTGTTTACAGTGAGGGTTGCCAAAATATGCAATATGCTTCCAAGGGAGATGGTGCTTTCCCCTACCTTGGAGGTATTTAAAAGGAGACTGGACAAACACCTGGCTGGCATCATCTGACCCCAGCACCCTTTCCTGCCCAGGGCAGGGGGTTGGACTCGATGATCTAATAGGTCCCTTCTGACCCTAACATCTATGAAACTATGAAATAAATTACTTGTCTTCACTTTTATGGTCAGTCTAACAACATCCTCACTCTATCCACCAACTTCTCTCATCCACTATTCAAATGTTAACCCTCCACCCCCACAATAGTTCCACAATACGAGCTCCACTGCCACCTGTTAAACTGTTAAGCAAGCTACTCTGCGCTTTCTCCATATGATGCCCCTCACTGAACTGAAGCTTTGTGTAAACCTCTGCAAAAATATTTCATTAGTTTCCTTGAATCTCTCCTTCACCTATGAAAAACTTTTGCCAAAATTAGGCGAAGACCACTGCTTAAGTTGCAAATGCAAAACATTTTCTAATTATTTTCTTTTACCTATCTGTACGTAGCTGATGTCTCTTGCTCATAGCTGAATGGTAAACTATTCTCTGTTAGTTACCTTTATACATACTGAATGTCCTAGTTATTTTAAAAACTCTCCAAACTGGCTTCCATACCTTACAGTTCACTGAACCTGCTTTTAGTAAAGTCTCCTAGTCAACATGCTCTCTGGGGCACTGTTCTGTGATTGGATAGTGTCTAGCACAGGGTGCCCTGGTCCTTGACTAGGGCTCCTAGAAGCCCTAAAAAACCAAAAGTAATGAAATAAAGAGCATGAAACGATTGCCTCGTCTAAAGGCAATGTATATAATATCAGAAAAGAACAGGAGAAAACCAAGTGTGAAAATGCCATACATGATCTCATGAGGATTTTGGAATCTATGATTCACAGGAGAAGGAGCCAAAAGTTTAAGGGCAATTTAGATTAGGGTCTTATCACTTTTGCAAGACCCAAGTAACTTTTACAAAAATTGATAGCAGCAATAAATCCAGCAAAAGTTGTAATACCCTGTCTTCAAATGAAAACAAACCTGGTACAAATGCTTTTTTCATATACTGTACCTTGGCCGCTTAATTGTTTCCACTGGCTTTGGTGCCCGAATTATGTGCTCCTGAAATTTAGGTTTCAGTTCAGCTAATTCCTTTCGTTCAGAGGTAGTTTTGACTTCAGGTTTAACAGGCTCAGGGGGTTTCTCACTATTATGGAAACCCTTTGTACAGCCCTGTCATTGAAAGAAAAAAAAACCCCGAACATGTTTTAATATGGAAATAAATACAACTTGTCATGCACAGTCCAAAAATAAGCTATGAATCAATGCATTTTGACCCTCATGCTCTACCTTATTTCAGTTTCTAGAATAGTGTGTGTTGTGCCTCTTCTGTTTTAGGCCAAGGACTAGAAGGGGATCCTTATCACCATCCTTCATTATATTATGGTATTTTCTTACCTACTACACATCCCCAGTAAAACACACCTTGTTTTTTGAAAGGCAGAATGTAGAAAAACAAGATTTTTCCAGTCAGGGCCAACTGTGTGACAAAAAGTCCTTCTGGAAAGAGTGCCCAGGAAGTGTGGCATACCAGGAGATGGCCTGGGTAAAGCAGCAACAATTTTCTGGTGTGGCAGGAGAGCAACAAAGCCAGACCTCTGATTGTTGCAAGGGCAGCTGTAAAACTTACTTCTTTACTGTCTATTAAGTTATTCACTTTTATTCTAGTGAAGAAAAATAAAATCAGGACCCCCACTTAAGACGCTTGATTTGGGGCTCGGAGGGCAGAAAGTGTGCATGATACGCAAGAAAATATGGTAATTCAAGTCATATTTTGACAGCATTAAGCAAAAACTTTTGAAGCCTGGAAATTGCAACTTCACATCTGAATAGTCCACAAGACAAGCCTGCCCTTGGAAGATCTGATTACAAAAATGGTATTTTTTGTGCAGCGGGGTTAGTGTTTTTCCATTTAAAACTTGCTCAGGTGGTACTATGGTTGTCTTCACATCTACTTCTGATAGGTAAAACCATGATACCTTACACACCTGCAATGATTATTTTAAAAGTCAGATGCCAATACATACCACAATACTCAAGAAATCAGAAAAATCTGTTGTTCTTCTTTTACAGCATGACCAGCCCTGTAAAATTTTGAATAAAAATAATGAAATAGACATGAACATCTCATTCAGTAGAAGCAGAAGGGTAATGATAATCCTTGGAAGCATGCCCTTAAATTCAAAATATTCTCCCTTCGTTTAGCGATTGTTAATATTCTCTATTTCTATTTTCTCTATGTTATAGGACTTCTATAGCCATCATTGCTAGCACACACATGCTGCCCTCACCATGAAGCAATGTCAAAACTTAGCAACAATTTACCAACTGGATGTGCAGACTAAGGAGGACAGTCAAAAAATATCATTATTTTGGTCACCCATTATCTCAGAGGTTGGTCTCATCTGCTACTACAATGGACAACAAGCCCATTTTTCAGAGTGAAGATAGAAATGTCTTCCTGACTACTGATTGTAACTGCTCTGTTTAAATCAAATTGGTTCTCTCTTGTTCAATGTCATCTTTGCTTTGGGCAGTTACCCATCCAAGTTATAAGAACTCACAATCAATGTCTAATGCTATACCAGGCAGTTTAGCTACTGATGAATCAATCAGTTCTTATCACAACATGTAATAAGTCTGAGAATTTACAGAACTTTTAATGTGTTATTAAAGATAAGTTTGACTAACATAATTAAATTACACTAGAAAGGTAAGACAAGGGATACCTGCTTAATTTGTACTACTCCAGAACAGTGTCCATAGATCCTCTAATTCAGTGGGGCCAAGCTTTTTTGGCAGGCATGCCAAAAAATTAGTCCCGAGCCCTTCTTGAGTGCCACTTCAATCCCATTCCCCTACCTGATTGCTGCTCTGCTTTCTGCCCCATCTCCTTCATGATATGCTGTGAGCCAGAAACAGAGGCTGCCTGTACCACTTATGGCTCCCATGCTGTAGACTGGCCAACCATTCTCTAACTGTTCACCCTTTCACATGCATTAAATCTGAATGAGTCGGACATTGTTTGAATTACTTAGAATGGGTATTAGAAGGAAGACAGCCTTAGAGTTGTGTGTAGGCACAAACTCGGGACCCTATTAAGACATCCACTGCACTTAATCACCGGGGCGTGGGCACATACAAATCAGAAGCTAGTGGATGGGGCTTGATTTTCAGCAGCAGCTGTAGGCCCTTAAATTTCTTTTGAATTTTTGGATAAAAGCTATTTCCAGGATTTCTGGCCAAATCCCACAGTTAGGACATGTTATACACTTTTAATTATTAACAGACTTGAAAAAATATTCACATTTCTACAGCAAACCACTAACAAACGCCTGAAATAGCCTTCCATTATCTATCCTTTCACATTTACCTTTAAAGCATCATGAAAGACTGGTACACCTGGATGATATATACATGAATCTGGAAAAGAAGAACACTGTTTGAAGATGCAAATACAAAAAATTGCAACTATTTTACTAATCACCATTGCAGTTAAAGCTTCAAACTCCCCCTAAGCAACATGAGGGACCATGTGGGTCAGAGTCTGCAAGAGCAGGGAACTGGACATCATAGCATATATTCCCTTCGTAAGTGTACTGAACTCCATTCTAAAAGTAGTTAGATTTTATGCCTCCACTATTCCCACGGGAAGGTTAAGAGACTGCTATCTAATAGTTAGAAACCCTCTTCTAATTTCCTGCCCAAGTTTATTCATGGATAAGAATTAGCCATTTGTTATTATGCCAACATTCTCCTTTAGCTTAAACAGCACTTCGTTCCCTGTTTACCATCATGTTTTTATAGAGAGCAACTATTTCCCCTCAGCCTCTGTCTTGATGACTGACAGACAGACAATTGTTTAGGATCAAGAACTGCCAAGGCTTACGAATATAAATAGAATATATCAGACATGAGCTATACAAAATGAAAAACACCCTCTCTCCTTGTCCCCATAAAAGATTTAAGAATAAATAAAATCCATGAAAACAGGATGGTACAGGTGAGAAGCAACAACAAAATCAACCTTAAAAACTAATGGTGATAGACAAGAAAAGAAAAGCAAGTGGTTATGAAATAAAGCACCTGCCTTTAATATTCTGTGCAGTTAATTCCTACTAAGCAAGAAAAAGTAGAAGCAGCATATCCCTCACGGATTTTCCCTTTCTTGTTCGTCTAAAGTCCAAGCCCACATATATTCAAAAAAATCAAAGAAAAATAGGGCTGGAAGAGACCCCAAGAGGTCATCTGATCCCACACCTTGCTAAAGATAGGATCATCTCAGTCTCAACCATCTCATTCAAGTGACTGTCCAACCTGCTCCTCAAAACTACAAAGGATAGAGAGTCTAAGGGGTCTGCGAAAATTTACTATGATCAATCAGAAGTATGTGAACACCCACACTTACAATTCAAAGGGATTCACATCTGCATTAAAAATGTTTTAGGGGTCTGCAACTGAAAGAAGGTTGAAAGCCACTGCTCTAGATAAATCATTTCATTGTTGAATCACCCAGGGTGAGCAAGTTAGTTCTCTCCAGCCTTAATTTCTCTTGCTGCAATTTACAACTTACTACTCATCCTATCCCTGTGACCACAGACAAGTCTGTCATCCTCTTGATAACCACCCTTCATATATTTTGAAGATTTATCAAAATTTCCCTTCAGTCTTCTCTTCACCAAATAGTCTTAATCTGTCAAACTGTTTCTCATAAAGTATGTTTCCCAGACCTCTAATCACTGTTGTTGCTCTGCACTAGACTCTTTAATTAGTCCACATCTTTCCCAAAGTGTGGTGTACAAAACTGGACACAGTACTCCAAGAGAGACCTCACCAATGCCAAAGAATAGGTTAATCACTTCCTTTGATTGTAAACACAACCTTGTTAATAAAATTCAGTATGCTATTGGCTTTTTTGTAGCAAGAATGCACCTGACTCACCTTCAGCTTGTGATCCACTGTAACCCTCAGGTCAGTTATAGCAGTACTGCAGCCTAACCAATTGTTCACTAATCTGTATTTGTACATGTTATTTTTCATCCTAAATGCATACCTTTTGACTTATACTTACTAAATTTCATTTGATAATTTCAGATGATTTCTCCAATTTATCTAGGCCACTCTGAATTCAAATTCTACCTTATTTATTATACGTGGCTAATCTTGCCAGCATGTTTGCAGGACTGACCCCTTAGACCATAAGCTCTTTGGCTACAAATTGATGTCACATTTCTCTAGGGATAAACTCCCAGGAAAAAAATGCTATCATTCAGACATTCATGTCCACTGTCCTAGGAAAAATCTTCAAAAGATTCACAGGTTAAGTATTAACCATTTATCCCAGGACACTACCAAGTATGTCTGAATTGTCATCCCAGGAATACTTAATTGAATCAATAGCAGAAAATGGGGAACTGCATTCAGCCATCCTTTAAACCCCGATTAGAAGGGTGCTGTGCATGCACCAATCCCAGGATTTTTCAATTCCAGGACAGACAGAGGCACACCTTGCCCTCGGACAAATACAACATCTGCTCCTAGCCTTTTGGGCACAGGGCTGTCTTCTAAAGCGTTTGTGAAACATTAGCACAAACATTTGCCCTATAACAATCATACTGTAATACAGGCGCACCATGCATGAAGTCCGAATGAAAACAGAGGTCATGACTCAACTCAAAGAATTTACTCTAAGACACCAACCCTATAATCAGGCCCTTGGGGATTACAGACCCATGAGCCTACACCAAACCTGCCCTTAACTTCACATACTTCATGCTAGTGAATCCTACACTGCAGGGGGAACATGGCAACAGAAGAGGCGTGGGGAGAGCTAAAGCAACAACGTTAAGAGGTGGCTGCCAAAAATAGGGGCTGCTATTTGCCTACAATATGTAAATATATCATAATGAGTATGAAGGTAACACTCAGTCATGATGAAAACAGTATTCTCGTGATCTACATACTAATAATCCTTAAACCAGAAGGTTTAACAATGTTTGTTTTTTCTAGTCCCTCTCACACCTATCTGACTGACAACCCAAAAGCCATTCCATTTTGTCCCATTACTTTTGCACTAAGCCCAAAAAAGCTTGCATTTGATTATAGCATGTTTTCCAGAAAGGCACCCTGTCTTGATCTGAATACCACAGAAGAGGGAGAATACAGAGACCATGAAGAATTCATTACTTCCACTGGTTCCTGCTCCAATGGATAATTCCATTCAGTCTGAAATGGGTACCCGAACTTCTCTGGCTTCAACCTTTAGCCACTGGCCCTTGTCAGGTCTTCAACTTGATAAAAAAGTTCTTTAGAATCCAAAACCTCAGGCACACGTTATAATCAGGTCACTTTTCTATTTCAATAAACTAAAAGAAAGTGAGCTCTTTAAGTCTGAACCAAACAAGAGCATTTGTCTCACCAATGCTATGCACTGAGATAAACTCACGCCCCTATTCTTGTATCTTTGTTTATATGCTGAGGGATTACATTATCCCTTGCTTAGGTACTCAAGTCAAAATGTTGTGGTTGTTAAAGTTAAGAGTTTAGAGAGCACAGCAAATACAAAGGATTCAGTCTTTAATAAGAGGCACATAAAATCCTTTTTCTTTACTGATTGGGGGAAGGGGATATGAGTGTGTGTAAAAAAAACAAACTTAAGATCTATCATACATTGACATTGTTATATGACAGAACGCCTGTATAGCAAGCAGCAATGAGAATTTCTCACATCAGCAATACTGGGAATGATGGATGGTCATAAAGCGCTCCCATTCAAGTGGAAACACTCTAAAGAGGTGTGCCGGAAGATGCTGGGGCTTAAAAGCTAGTTCAACTCCGTTTGTCTGAAATGTGTAGGAAAAAAGGGTAACAAAAGAGAATTATACAGAACTCACAGAAGAAACAGGTTCAGGCTTTTGCAGACAAAGGAAGCTATCTGCAAGTCAGAGAAACAGAAAGGCACAATTTTATAGCAAAGAGATCCTGTTCAACTGTGGGACCAACCTAGATTAAATAAAAATGACTTGAAGCAGAGCGATATTCCATTATTCAGACAGCCATCAGCTACAAGAGAAGGACCCTAAACACTCTACGGCAGTGATTCTCAACTAGGGCGAAAATTTTACACAACATCTGCGCATTACCTTTCAGAGCACGATGGCCCCTGGGTTTAGCTGTAAACCCAATAAGCTCTGGAAATGGGGTGCCTACCCCAAGGATAAACCTCCTGTGAAGGTTTATGAGACAGAGGACCTAATTTCTAGAAGAGCCTTGGATAGACTAGGGCTCAGAATGGTTACTAGATTCTAGAGGTGCACCGATATATTGGTTGCATATCGGATTGGCACTGATAAAAGGAAAATTAACATTACTGGCTATTGGCTTTTCTTGGCTGGTGTAACTAAAAATATTCACTGATAAATATAATATGCCTTCTGGCCAGGGCCCCTGGAAGCCACACTGCACACATGCAAGTGGCCAGGAATGCAGCTGGGCAGTTTGGAGATGAACACCCTGCAGGTAAGTCTGCAGAGGGGCAGGGGCTTGTGGGAGGGCAGACTGAGGCCCTCACAGTGACAGAGGCAGTGGGGCAGGGGCTTGGAGCACTGCCCAGCCAGGGCAGTGAATGAGACTCTCCCACTGCCGGGTGGACAGAGGGTGTGTGGCTAACACAGGGCCCCTGGGGCAAAAAGAGCAGGGCAGAGACCCCCTTGCACACAGCAAGTGTCCCGCATCTGCCCTCGCCCCACTTGGCTCGGCTCCAGTTAAGAGCATCCCTGGGCTTAAAAATGGAAGCAGCGACACTTGAACTAAAGCTCATTTGACAAGCTTTAGCTCAAGCATCCCTGCCACCATATTTAAGTGCCAGGACACTGATCCCCTGGACAAGCCACTGGTGGTTCTGTCCGCTCCCTGCCCCAGGTCCCATTCACTGACCTGGCTAGGTAACGCCCCGAGCCCCACTCCCTCCCTCACCATGAGGGCCTCAATCTGTCCCCCCCTATCTGCCTTCCCCATCATGCTCCTTCCCCTACACAGACTTACCTGCAGGAAGCTGCTCTCCACCCTACCTGACTGCATTCCTGTAAGTCAGTTACTGGATTGGTATTGGCTGATATGGCTGGTTAATAATCAGCTATTGGTATCAGCCAAGAAAATCTCTATCGGTGCACCCCTACTAGAAACCAAAGAGTTCTAGGGAAGCTTAAAGCACATGCTTTGGAGCCAGAGATGGCAGCGTAACATTTCCAACAGAGGAAGCTCAACACACCTAGAACACAGGAGAAGTCAGGAAAGAATTTTTTTTCCTCAGTTTCAAAATCCTTTTCTAATCCTGAGCGCCATCAGCAAAAGGAAGGGATAACACATTCCTGGTGCTTAGTGAGGTTATGTCACCATCTTCTGTCAGCTTCTGTCCATCTGACCCTCTTTCATGTACATACAATCAAAAAAAATAGGGCTGGAAGGGACAGTGAGAGCTTGTCTCTACTCCCAACTCCCTCCTCAAAGCTTAACTCCTGCTTTGAGGAGGGAGTTGGGAGTAGAGACAAACTCTCTTTGTTAAGCCATGTCAAACAAGCGAGCATCTAACCTCCTGTTAGATGGCAAGGGTGGAGGTTCCACACCTTTTCCAGATAATCTATTCCGATGCTTAATCACTGTCATAGTAAGAAAATGTTCTTCCTAATACCCAGCTTGTTTCCCCTGCTGCAATTTAAGATTGTTACTTCTTGCCCTGTCTCTAAAGAGACTAGTCGACCCTCCACTTTACAGCCACGCTTTAAATATCAAAAGACTGTTACTAAACACCCCCTTCTCTCCACTACATCTCAGTTCTTCCAATTATGTCTCATAAATCACATTTCCCAGACTGCTAATAATTTTTGTTGCTCTCTACTGGATTCTTTTAAAATTTATCTCTGTTTCTTGAAGTGTAGTGCCCAAAACTGTGCACAGGTCAAGTCTCACCAGTGCCAGAGTGGAAAAATCACTTCCACTGACTTGCAAGTGACACTCTTAATACAACCTAGTGCACTATTGTGCTTTTTAAATCGTAAACTTGTCATGCTTAAGGGTCACCGTAGAAAGTAAGTCAACAAGAGACTTTTCAAAATAGCCCAGGGCAATACTAGTTACAACAATTTAGATTATACTTTTACAGCTTCTGATGCGTCACAGAACCTAAAGCAACAGCATGCTAAACAGTCCATGCATGTTACATATATAAACACACAATACCGTATCCAGAACACGTGGAAAAAAGTGCTGCAGTTTTCAAAAAATTATTAACTTGATCTTCTGTAGTCCCATTAAAAAGGATTTAGTGATCTGTAACAAGTTTACACATGGCCAATGTGAAACATTATCTGGCAATACTGCTAACAATCTGTATGCAATATATATGTCCATGCAGGGACTTTCATGCTTGTTCAGCTAACAAAGTTTACATCATTTAACATATGTCCCAAAACTCTATATGCAAGCGCTTGAGTAGTAGTGGCCCATTCTATTTCCCAATGCTCAATTAGAGGGCTCTGACACCATGCCAGTGGTCATATCCAGTGTTCACTGCAGTGGTCGATGACTTTTTTTTTTTTTTTGGTTAAACTAAGCAAACACCATCCAAAAGGCTTACCCTACGTCGATGGGTGCTTTGAGATCCTTTCATGCAATGTCAGCACTGTTAGGCATGCAATCATGTTTCACAAAATAAAACCAGAGATTTCAAATGGGAATCCATGGTGTTAAAATACAGTCTAAGCTGTTGTATGCTTTTTGAGTCCTCTGCAACAGAAGAATTGTTCCGTTTCCTCTAATCAAAAAACGTGTGAAAACTAAGTGCTGGTAGTTTCCGAAGGGATACCGTGAATTTAAGGAGGTTGAGAACCACTGATCCAGGTCAGCAGTTCTCCGCCTTTTTTTGTACCAAGACACTAGTCCCAACCCAGCACCCCTCACTCCCAACCTGCTGCTCCTTGGCCCCAGCTCCTCAGTGTGTGTGTGTGGGGGGGGGGGCAAGCAGCCCCTTGCAAGCTGGAAATCTGCCAGCCTGTATGGGAAAATATAGGGTTTCCCTCATTTTTCTCCTTTAAAGGAAAATCCATTTTTAAAAGTTTGTTCATGACCCTTTCATATATTCTTGCAACCCACAAGTTGAGAAACGCGGATCTAGGCCTTCCATTCTACGCCTGTGCTGGGGGCAGCTCCTCCTCCTCCATGGGCTGCTGCTAAGATGCCAATACCTCAGTAAAGCACAGTGGTCCCAAATGTTTTCAGACCCAAGCAGAGCGCCCTTGACTCTGCAGTGCCCCACAAAGTGCCAGCTCTTAGTTTTCACTCTTTTGAGCCTACAGAAATAAATAAGGAGCAGTCTTCCTGCTGTGAAGAACTCAAAGACACTAGACCTCAAATTTCTATTGGACATCGACCTTGCAAATCACCTCGCGCTGCTAACAGGGTGTAGCACCCCTGAGAAGATCCCAGTGCCCCAGTGCTGAGGACAGAGTTGGTGGGGGAAGCAGAGGGTTGGTTGGTGCATCCAAGGATGCTGAAGAACAGATCCATGCTGCAAAACTGAAGGGAAGGGAACAGGAGAGTCTCCTGTAGGGGCCAGGAAATCTCCAATCTCCCCCCTTGGACAGCCCCCGCACCTAGCCGGAGACCACAGCCCACTCCCAATATCCACCAGAAATAGGACCAGGAAAGGGGGGAGGATGAGAAGCAAGCCAGTTGCCCAGGCAACAAGACACCCCCCCCC